GTCACTGACCTCGGCCGCGCGGCCTTGGCGGCGTCACTGACCTGGGCCGTGCGGCCGCGGCGGGGTCACTGACTTTGGTCATGTGATTACGGTATATATATATATGTGTGTGTGTGTGTGTGTGTGTGTGTGTGTGTGTGTGTGTATTATATATAAATATAGAATATTATAATATATATAATATTTTTGTTTTTACTCTTTTCTCTGTCACGTGACTTTAGTCACATGATGTTTTTCTACTCTTTGTCACTATTTTTTGATTTTGATTTTCATCCGTTTTAGTTCTGACATCTCTCTAAAGTGTATACTAGCTGTCATCGCGGTGTGACTGGTTGTGTTCACTAACACTACACGTTAAAATAAAAACAATAGTTTGCGCGTAGCACCTGTGTTGTGCTAGTTATAAAATAAAAAATGTTTCAAGAAAAAAAGTAAGTCTCGAAAGTGCGAAAGGTACGAAGACACGCAGCACGTTTATTCAAAGGAAAACAACTCTGTATAAAGTTTATTTGTCTACGCGGACAAATATTATAACATTTCAAATCGGAGCGTCAGAGAGAACGAACGAATACAATGTTCGTTAATCCAGAAGTTTGAAATATCCCGGAGAGAGATTATCCCGGTGAATATTCCTGGCGAAATAGAAGGATCCCACGATCTTTCGTTTGTGGAAGCGTTTGAAATGGAACGATGTAAATCCGAGGCATTGAATCATTTCTCCGACGAGCAAGAGAGATAGAGAGACGCGTTTTGAGCGATTTCCCGGGGAGCGTTTAATTCGTTACATATGACTCAGCTGCACAAACATTAGCTCATCCGAAAGAGATTCCGAAATGCCGGAGCGTTTCTTTAATATTTGGCAGAGAGAGAGAGAGAGAGAGGGCAAAGTACTTTCTGTAGTCCTTAAATTCGCGCACACAATGAAAATCCCATTTAACGGAATATTCCATTGCGTGATGCCGCACGTCTTACGTAAAACCTCCTCCGAGGATTTGTCGCGTTCGTTTTTATGCATCAAATGAAAATTTGATACTTGTGTGTGAGTACATTGTTAAATTAAATCGTAAGTGGCTCCGTATTTTTAGGAAATAAATGTCAAACAAAAATTCTTTCAACAAATTTTGCATCTTCCATTAATTACTAAATTTTTTCAACAAATGGAACAATCGGTTATAAATATCGACAAGAGTATATAAAAAGTAGATAAATTTATATAACAAGAGAAAAAGATTCTGTCAAATAAATGAATAAATAAATAAATATACTTCGTATTTGATATTTCACTCGAGCATGCATTCTGATATCAATTGAAAGCGTTTCCATGTATTGACTTTCCGTTATTCATCAAATTTCGTCAATCTCGACTGACAACGAGCGCATGAAAGCGTCGAGTTTTGTGCGATAAACCCGAGTCGTCGTAAGCCTAGTTTTCAGAATATATTTTTACTCGTCAATGCACGATCACGTGGGAAATTTCGACCGAGTATCGCGGCGTCCGCGAAGGCGGTCCTAAACCCAATTAAACTGATTCAAAGGCAAACAAGAAACGCGCGCATCGATCTTACTACCTACCTCAGATATTAGCATAAATCAGGACATCGATTCGCACGTACGTACACAGAACTGCTAACTAATTGACAAAGCTTTTGACGGATGTTTGCTTGTATTTTAACAATAGTTTTCGATAAATTGATTATATAACGAGCGAGATGTCAATGTTGTACGCGCGCGCGCGCGAAACGTCAAACGTCAAATTCCGCGACGCGGATTTCTTTGATTGTGTGTCATTTTTTTCTACACGTACATTTGAAAAGAGAAATGCAAATTGAGAAAAGACGAACGAATAAAGAAATTACAAGATCAAAGACGAGAACTACGCATCTCTTATCCCGTTGAACACACAGGCGGGGCAATAATTACGGTGCAAAGCAGTGCGGAAATTAGGCTGTCGCGCGCCGGTCGAAATGTCGTAACGCGCGTCGGTTTTTTTTTTCACGATCGCGACGCACAAAGGCAAAAGCTCACCTCGTCACCGGATTTCTCTTTCCGGCCGTTGCCCGTCTGTCAGTCGTTTAATCGTCGTGTGATCAAAGGGATTCCTTAATAAGATCCGCACACAGCCGCGGGCTCGCAAAGCAACCCACGCGTTTAGGAACCAAGTGCATTTGTATCAACACGCGCGCGTTCGACGCGCGTCGATTGTTAGAAAATGTGTTTTTTTTTTTTTTTTTTTATATAAGCCACAATCTTCCGCCAGTTCCGCGCGTCAATTTCTGCGCCAAGTGTGCGATGACGCGAGAAATTGCAGCAGACTATTTGTCAAGTGTCTAATTTCGAGAATCTCACACGGAAAGAAAAGTTTTGCCGTTACACGAAAGGCCAGCAAGAAAAGTTTGTTGCATTTTTTATTTCATTGACGAAACATTTTTGTATAATTTTTTCATGCAATAAAACACCAAATTTGCTACTGAGTGTTTTCGTTTTAGCGCCGACAAAACGTTTCGCTGGCGAAACAGAAAATTCAATAGACTTGGCAAATTTTTTTTTTTTTGTCTTGCTCGTCGTGTAATAACTAATCTTTTTGCTATTGTGCGGCAAACTTTTTTTTTTCCTTGCAAACTGTTTTCTCGAATAAGAATCAAGATCACTGCGAAGTTTTTCCGCGAACATCACGTGAAATATGCTCGCGTTCTTCTCGAGCAAATGCGAACTTCTTTCTCATCAAAAAAGTTCTTATAATAATCCGGCGGAAAAGTTTCGTCTTGTGGGTGTCGAATAGCTCGCGGAGCTCGCGGCGATCAGCTCGCGAGCGCTTCTTCCGCGCTACGTTCGGCAACTTTTGAATTTCAATTGCCGACGTTGCTCGGACGCGCGCGCAGAAATGCACACAAGACTTTCATACTGATCGTACGCTTGCGTTTTCTGTTTCAGATCTCCTCGATAACCAGCTTCTGCAGGGTGAGTGTGATTTTTATTACATATTACATATTATATATATATATATATACATACACTTATATGCGCGGCTTTGCATTTTGAAGAAGACGTTTGCATGTTTGTCGTGAGATTCGCGAAAATGTATCCGCGTTATCACTTTCGATCGATTTCGCATCTCTCGCATCTTTTTACTTTGTTCGCGAGAAGTTTGTGCGCACTTTTCTTTACTTTTTACAGTTTTACGGCTCGTGATATTATTTACAACGAATCGAACATCATTCACTTGCTTGTTTTATTTTAATCTGTTTCAATGGAATTATTAATATAATTTTTTTTTTTTTTAACACACACGATCTGTGTCGTTATCTGCTGCCGAAACGTTTCCAACGCGTTTAATCGTCCCTTTATGGGCTCTTGGCGTCGCGTTTCGCTTATGTTACGCTCGTGTTTCCGCGGAGACAACGCGGATAATCCAGAAATCGTCATTCAAGTCTCGTCTTTCCTGCGAGACGTGAGTGTCGTTGTCTCTCGCTTGCACTGCTTCCGGAAACCGAAGGAATTTCCCGTGTGAATTTTTTATTGAAAGTATTTCCACGCGCGCGAAGAGTAGCATACAGAAATAAAGTGACAAATGCTCTCACATTAGTTATTTATTTTTTTCCTATCTCAGTGTCACTAAGCTCTAAAAATACGCGAAGGGCTTTTAGTTTATAAATGATGCTCGTCGTGCGAGCGAAATTCTCCAATGGGAGAGAGTTTTAGTTCGCGATGAATATGAATACTCTCTCGCGCGCGCGCGTATCAAAACCGCAAAATGCGTGCGGAAAAAAAAAGACAAGTACACACCAGTTGTTAAAAAAAAAAAAAAAAAAAAAACTTCTACGGGTTTGAGAAACGTTTACGCGCTAAACAATGCTTATTGCGACTTGCCTCGTATTTTTGGCAAAAGTATTTTACAAAACAACAAAAGTGTCCTCGCGGTCGCTCACGCTGCGATTTATTGTAAGTGGGAATATCAGTTGTTGATATTATGAATGTGTTTTCGTGTATTTTATTTCTCTATATTTCTCTCTCTCTCTCTTTCTCTCTCTCTCTCTCTCTCTCTCTCTCTCTCTCTCTCTCTCTCTCTCTCTTGTTTTATCTGCGTATGAAAGAAATATATACCGGCAATTTCGAAAAACCAGCTGAAAAAGTTGCAGTTGATGCATCTCGCCTGCACTTGACTGCTTTCAAGGGGAGGGAAGAGTTGGAAAAAGATTTTAAAATGCAAATCGGGTGTGAAACCGATCGATTGCATAATTTACGGCGTGGTCTGCGGGCTAAAAATATACCGACGTTATCACAAATTTCTTCTCACGTAAATGTAAATTACTTTTTCTGCTTATCGTTGACAATTTCCTATTAGTTAAGAACGACCTCTGCGAAAAAAAATTCACGTGGAAGCACTCAATAATCGTGTTTTGAGTATATTTTAATTATTGTTTTGTATATATTTGCGCGTATTTGTTATTTTTTTATCGACACATTACTGCGATGTAAGAAATTTGCTAATTTTACATTACAAAGTGCGGAAGACGTGTGATTTGGGAAACGAAATTTGGGATGTGGAATTTTTATTCTCTGACGTCGAATTGTGAACGCGAATAGAGACAAATAAGTACAGAAATGGTTCGAACGCGTTAGAAAAATTTTCGTCTTGTTCTCGGAATGTTGCACATCTTACGTCATATTGACGCGAAGCTATCGTTCTGAGAAAGCGGGAATAAATCATTCATGACGCGCAGTAAAAGATCTCGCACATTGACTCTCGCCTGTCTCTTCTTTCCAGTGAATGTGCGCATGCAAGTTTTTCACATTTTCACGTCTTTTCACCTCGATGTGTTTGAGTCTGAGCTCTGCTCTTGTGAGGGCGATCTTCTACTCGCGATGCTCCAGTAAATTCGATGATGACGTTTCTCCAACTCTCTCTTTCCTCCTCCCGACTTTCTCGGCAAATTCCTTTCCTTGTTTTTTTCATTCATTCCGCAAGCGCGCGCGCGCGCGCGCCTAAAAGGGCGTCGGAAGTATAATTTACGATCTTGTTAAAAACGAAGAAGAAATCATTTATTTTCGTGGTATGTGCGACGTAATGTAGAAAAATGATCGAAGTGCGAGCGAAACAAGCGGTTGAGAAAAATCACTTCGCCGATTACATTTCTAACATAGCGGACATTTCTTCAACAGTTGCGGCGCGCAATAATAAAAATATCCAATCTCGAAGCAAATGTCAGTTATACAAGTGCTAATATGTACGCTGGAAAAATGTTGATATTTATATTCTAGCATAATGAATATTTTCTATTCGAAAATAATATTTTTTCACACAAAACCAAAATTTTTATTTTTGTAAAAAAATTTACATGAAAAATTGAAAAACATAATGCGCGGGTGACATTGTTTTGAAATTATATCGCGGCACACGCGATGTGTGTAATTCGCGCGGTGCTGTTCGCCGCGGCGTGAATAAAAAATTGTTGACGACAACAAAATGCAGCAACGCACTTTCAATGTCGTCAACGGACGCGTACAAATGCACAATGCTCATCATCCATGAGCGGCTAAGTGGAGCTCGTGTCTGGATGTAATAAATAGTCAGTCCTCATCCCCCTCGTGTCACTCCGTTCGCTCCATATTCGTCAAACGGGGATCAGTGTACTCGCTTGCTGCGAGAAGAGGGATCTTCTCTCGCGCCGGAGGTTTCCTCCCCCGTCGGGGTTTTGCCGCAACCCGCGGTATATATATACTCGGTTGCGCTTATTGTGTTGTCCCGAATACATTGTGCACGCAACCGAGGAATGTCTGCTGACGCTTGGCCGCTCACGATTACCACGATGCGAGAAAAGAGACGCGCTATTAAAAGAGGAACCCCCAGGATTTCACCCTTAAATCGACTTTGTGCGCGACGGTTTTTCGCCCCCTCCCCTCCCGCGTCGTTGTTCACGCGCCTTATTTTTTAACCAATACGTTCTAAATAATTAGGAAGGGTTTTTTTTTTACACACACGAGATATCTCGATGCAAATATTTAGAAGTGTAAGTTTTAAATATTTGCAAATGGTTTTTTCGTGTTTTTTTCCGCGTGAAATTTTATCTCGCAGATGTGTAAATATATATTTACATATTTAGAGAAAGAGAGAGAGAGAGAGAAAAAAAGAATATTATATTTTATATTTCTTAATCTATATTTTCGCGTGACATTTTTGTGTAAAAACGGTAAAAATTCTTACGAGGAATTTACCTCTGAATTCTCCGCAAAAAGTGATGATGAAAAACCGCAAAATATACATATTTATTATCAGAAGCGACGAGCAAATTTGTATATATAAAAGCACCTTGGTGGCGGTCTAATTTCGCGGAACGGGGAAAACGTAGTTACTTGTAATAATAAATTGCCGGTTCGGTTCACATTGTGACACAGTTATAAATGTTTAGACGGTCATTAGCGCGAATCAGGGAGTCCGAGAAGCGGCTAATGAAGATGGAAAATTAATTAAGTCGGAAAATTAATTTCTTCCCCGCGAGATAGATCGCGGTTCCTCGCGATCCGAATCAAAGCTGCAAATTTTGATTTACCACGGTTTAATTAAATTTCCACTTGAATATTAACTACACGCCAAGAATGGGTTAATTCACCGTCGTAATGAGGGAGAGAGAGAGAGAGAGAGAGAGAGAGATTTGTAAATTGAAAAATGTATAAGATCGTTTTGTATGCGAAATGCGTTCTGAAACCCGCTTTGTCTCAAAAAATAATACCTCGATCGACGTCAATATAGAGTTCCGCAATAAAATCCATGTCTAATATATACAATAACAATTACAAGTATAACGTTAATTTGAATGATTCGGTTTTTGTATAAAATTTGTTATTTATGTAAATGATCGCACACACGCGTAATGGCGGTTCGCTATTTACCAAGTGACGATGTGTAAATAATTTATCTTTGTAATTGCAAATTACTGTATTATTTATTACCGCGAATATTGCACGGCATAATTTTGCCAAAATGGTTTGTTTGATTTAACATTGCAATATCAATTGCGCGCGATAATGTTACTTTCGATCGATTTTGTCACGAGTCGCGCGTAGTCGATTGTAATTTGTAAGTGGTTGTAACAGAGAGAATCGCGAAATGTCGCATTTTATCAAACACACACGTATAGCCTTTTTTCGTAACAAACCGCGGATAACGTGACGTTATCTCGCAGACAGTTCCTTAATTTCATCACGGTGAGTGCGAGATCTATTTGTTCGCCGAGAAACATTGAAGATAAGGCCTCGAGGATTATGAGGGGGATTGCTCGACTGCGGTCCAAGGAAGCGTCCTCGACAAGAGAGCTACCTAATTAGAACGAGGAAAGACGAGAGAGAAGGGCGTCAAACAGGGTCGGTCTTCTCTGAACTGTAGTCGGAGTTTCCTACTTCATATTGTATTTTCACAGAATTAAATTAATTAAAAGCCTCGCTTTTTCCTACCTCTCTCGTCGTAAGTAGCTTATTTTTCAAAGATCCAACTTAAATTTTGTTACCTCCCGGTACCTGTGAGAGCTGTGATATTATTTCGGATAAAAAAGATGTATAAAGCGTTTTCTCGTCGGAAAATTTTGCCCGAGCGGCCCTGAGAAGCGAAGATGAAGGATAATAAGAGGGGATAGTATCTTCCTCTCGGTTAGGTACCTCCGAGAGGTACGAGAGTACGTAACATCCTGACGTTTCAGACGCTGCTCACTCTTCTACGAGATTTCCCTTTTCCTCCGCTCGGAGTCGGTTAGAGCGATAAACGAAAAAGGTAAAAGAATAACCGGGAGAGATAACGACTATCGATGCTACTGTTAAAGTCGTAAAGGACCACTCCTCGCGAACGGCGGCGTTGGTGTAGACGTTGAACTTTTACGGCGTGTTCGCGAGAGGATCACTTCGAAAAACTTTGGCCGTTCTTTCTTCGGAGAAACGGAAAAATGTTGCGCGCGAACACATCAATGCCGACTGTTTATCTTTTCGAGAGCTAGGTGGTTTAATATTTCATGTAATATACATCATGATTTTTTGATTCGAATATATGTACGGTGCGAGTTGTATGAAACATTTCGACGAAGTTTTGATCGGATGGATTGGGGGTCAGTCCGAATCGGACGGTCATTTTCCATTTTTGTAAACTTTGAATATTGAATTATTAATCAGCGTATGTGAACTAATGAGCGCGTGGAAAGCGATGATCCGGGCTTTGACGCGAGTGATTTTCATTTTGCGAAGAAAAATACTTCACTTCGTGAATAAATCTCCTAAGAACGACAGGCGCAAACAAGCGAGCGGCGTGCGACACAGCTTTTCTTGCGATCAGCTGATTTTTTTGATGATTTTTTTGCTAAACGAGTTGCGAGCGAAAAGCAGACTCTTCGCAGATCGTTAATTCTGTAATTTGCCGTGGGGAAAAAAACGCGCGAGAGATATTTCAAGATAACGTTCTTTTCTGTTGCAGCTCTCGGCTATTGTCGACGGGATTTACGCCGAGCACGGACACACCGCGGGATCGTTCGCGCACTTGGCGAGCGATCGACTTCTCGTCGGTGGCGGCGCCGACGCGAGATCCTTGCAGGGCGCCAAAGGGATCAACAATTTTGTCGGATGTCTAAGAAAGGTTGGATCGAGATATCGCATGATTTATTTATAACTCGGATAATAACTTCCGTCATTCTCGCGCCTCCGAGTGTAGGCTTACACAGCTGACGCTCGAGGATCAAAACTTGCGGTAACGCGAAATCGTTAACATTTTCAGCATCACACAGATTTTTTGCGGATGAAAATTAAATAACATTAACAGTTCGACTCTTTAACTTCGGATCTCCGTGACGTTTGCAGCAAGTCGAGGAGTGACCTGTCACGTGACGTTTTAGCGCGAAAAAATAACCTTGAAACAACTCGAAACAATTGATTATCAACTGTGCGTGTATATTTTAATCGTTCGCTCTTGTTGAAAATCGATATTGGCTCATATCGCGTTACGGAGACCGAGATAATAGTGCTGGAGTAGTAACCGCACCATTGCCCTAATTATTAAATTACCTTTTTGCACTTGTTTTCGGTCGAACGGTCGCTATCGGACGACAATTACTCCGATACCAAAATTGCACCGACCAATTTACCGATGGAAAATCACGGGTTGCATACGTGTACGTCACCGAATCTCCGTGCGACTGTCAGCAAAGAGAGAGACTGCGGTCGGGTTTTAAAATTATTTTTAAAAGAACGTATAATTAAACGTATATATTAAACGGTTATGTGTACATTAAAATAATAATTTAAATTATTCGAAAATACATACACGCGGAAATACATTCGTGTATACAGGTGAATGTAATATTAACGAAATAATCTAATTTCTCAATTAAAATCAAGTTTTAACGGGCTCACACGACGACGGTCGTTATTCAAAAACTCCCTTCGGAGAAAATAAGAGCGTCGCGCTTATCATCTCTCAGAGGACGCTCGGAAATTTCGGAATTATTCCTATCGGTGGCGACGCATGAACGAACTTTCGCGAACGGGCCAATAAAAATGTTCCCGCTCGACGGAGGGGGTGTGTCAACGTGGTCATCGCGACGCAATGAAATATTCATGCCCGGCCTTTAACTTACTTACCGGGAAAGTTCTGACGAGAAATAAAGTAACCCGCGCTACGGGATGGCGGCGGCGCCAAAGAAACGCGAGTGAAGCGATAAAACTCGTCACAATATATATATATATATATATATAAAACATGCGCGGGGGAGCGGAAAGGTTAATGGCAACTGTAATTTGCTGACTGTTCTCAGCTTAAGTAGCAGCGAATCGGTCCCGGCGAATTATTTCCCCGCGAGTTTTATTTACGAGCGTGCAGATGTGCGCGCTCGCTCGTTCGCGATATGTAAATTTTCCCGGCGGGGAATTCAGACATCCGCCGAAGTTCTCTCTCGCTCGTCGCCAGAGATCGAACTCTTGCGGTCGTTTCGTTTTCTCTGTTTATAAGCTTCTTTCCGCGACTTCTTGTCGCGAAAAAAAAAACGCGAAAAACCTTCGGAAGAAGATAGATAACTGCCGCTAAAAATTTGTGTCGTACTCCTATGAGCGCGAAAATAAATTAGTCGGTTAATTGATTTCCTCGTCCAACGCTCTGTGCGTTCGCGCTCTTGTGTTCGCGAATTCACATTAACGAGTCATTTCGCGAAAGGTCGGCGCAATGAATTCTCGATATTCTGTTCTTTATTAAAATTTAAATTTCGAAAAACATATCGAATTCGCGCAAATTAAAATTTTAAATGTTAAATATTTGATGTAATTAGCATAAGGATGTTTTTCAATGAGAAATAATGAGAATATATATATGTTAGATTGTGATTGAGTTGCGTGCGCTCTCGCAGGTGGAGTTCGCAGCGGAAGGCATCAAGATGGAATTAATCGAGGCGGCCAGAAGCGGAGCCGCGGGTGCGGCTGCTTGGGGAAAGATGGATTTTCACTGTCGCGAGCCTAAAGCCTCAGACCCGATCACATTTACCACCCGAGATTCGCATCTCGTGAGTATACGCTCTTTTTTGAATCTCTGCAGTTTTCATTGTTTTTTTTTTTTTTTTTTTTTTTTTTTTTTTTTTTTTTTTTTTTATTGACGTGAAAAAAGATCAGACGTGTGCTCTTCTTATCGTTGCGCTATTGGATTATAACGAAGAAT